ATGATTTATATAGGGGATTATTTTTTTAAACTTTGTTTATTAATTAAGATATTCAAAAGAAATTGATTATTCTGAAGATATAAATATTTTATTACTCCAGATTTTTATTTAATTTACAAGAATAGTTTCTATTTGAAAATTTTTTTAACCGAAATATGTATGCAATTAACTGAAATAATTGTGTGTATGTAAATTTTTCTCGACGAAGTATTTTGTTCTATATATTTGAATTTTTCTAGTCTTAAGCGAGGATAAAATTTTAACTTAATTCAACAAGCAACTTTTAAAAATATCCATTAGCGCGAAAATTCGTTTATGACTTTTGCGAGTGCTGTATTGAGGCGAGCGTAGGGNCGTTATTTGAATTTTTCTAGTCTTAAACGAGGATAAAATTTTAACTTAATTCAACAAGCAACTTTTAAAAATATCCATGAGGGCGAAGATTCGTTTATGACTTTTGCGAGTGCTGTATTGAGGCGAGCGTAGGGTTGCCTCTGAGTGAGGGTAACCGAGAGAGCAACCTCGCAAAGTTGAAGGAAAGCCCTCCCTCATTAGACATGGATATCAACCAATTAGACATGGATGCCACGTGCCATTGACCGCAGCCGGCCAGGGGGTCTACCTTTCTGCATGTAAAATGGCTTGTGTCTACGTGTGCCTCGACAGACTCCTCGGACGGGGTCATTTATCTCCCCATCTGCTGACCAGACGAGTGGTCCTCTCGCAGTTCAAACCCCCTTCTTCTAGCGTCCACCATGTAAAAGGGGGCGACCGCAAACGATAAATTATCAATTTGTAATTGTGGGATATCTATTTCGCCGAGGAAAGCAAAAACAGCTAGCCCTCAGCCTTACTAGATAAGGCGGTGAAACAGTTGAAAAATAAAACCGCGGCGAGTGGAGGTGCCCGGGAGTCGACAATGTGTAAAGTCGCGTTAGGCGACTGCCCTTGCATCAGAAATGTTCTGGATTCAAATCCCGGGCAAGGCATGGATGTTCTTTCCTTCTCTGTACTATCTGTCTTTACTGTGGGAACAACGTTGGACCACCTAATATGGTGCCCCTGAAAGAGAGGCCAGCAAATCTACCCTGTAAATGCCTGAATTGACGAAAAATGTTAGCACAGGTGGCCATTCGGAAAAATAATAATAATAGTCTGCTTTAAGAACCTAATTGGGTATTGTCCAATGTATACACCTATATCTTGGATGTTGAGTAAAAACAGCTGTTGGGAAAAGTATTTTCAAAGTATATAGGTTTATAAATATTTTCTGAACAGATTAATAGGTCGATGATAACTAATTAGAATTTTGGTAATGACCATTTTTCGAGATCACGCCTTTCTCGGAATATATCCGACTATATGTGTTGTTTATTAAGCGCAAACTTATTTTTTAATTTTGTATTTAACATTAAAAAGGGGGAAACCAATTCTAATAAGGGCTTATTTTTCTTTTCTTCTCAATTCCTTCCTTTTTTGTTATTATTAATATTTTTTTTTCGAAATGCATTTCTGTTAAAGCAAGTGAAATATTTTCACTTCCGAAAATCTGAAATCTAAATTGTCTCACTGAAAGTCCTGATTATATGTAATGAAAGTGCTATTTTTATTATTTTTTTATTTTCCTGTATTAAAAAATTGCGTGAACCACTGCCGCTATTTTGCGTGATAAATTTAATGATACACTTTCAGAAAAAAATAAAACTTAGAAGCTTAAAATTATTAATCGGTGTAGAAAGATGCACGAAGAGTATGGTAAAATAAATAAAATAAAATAATAATATTCGATAATTAGTTTGAAAATTATTAATTGCTAAGCTTGTAGTAGTAAAAAGAAGAAGAAAAACAAAACTGGCAGGTTACCTTGCAGCTCTCGCAAATGTATCTAGAGTTAAAATTCGATGTGCTGAAAGGGTCATTGTAATTCACGAATTTAACTCGAAATTTTTTTTAAAAATTTCCAATTTATAAGAACGTTATGACAATTTAAAGTGTAATTTTTTTCAAATATATTCAAAATCTTTTTTCGCTTTCTATAACATGCTTTAGATACTTTTATGTTGCATATTGTTTTTCTCCACAAAAACTATAGATTTAAGAAACGTGAAATTACGATTGCGTGAGTAAAAATATATAGGACGTTCAATGAAATAAAAAAAATAATATTTTATAATTAGTTCAAGAATTAATAACTGTTAAACTATAGCAAAAAATAGCATGACAGCTGCTTTGCAGTCGACTGCAAAGCAGGATCCGTATGTAACTCATTGAAAATCAGAACAATTTATGCACTTATGTAAAATAATTTACTTTTACAATTTAATAATATTCTTTTTTCATATTCAAATAAAATAATCTCTTCAAAAACTGCAAATTTTAGAATAAGTCACAATGTTTAAAATATATAAATCGTAATAATTCTATAATCTATTGAAATAAACTAGTAATTAAATATTTCCTATTTTCGAAAGATTTTAATATAGAAATTTGTTGTATTTCCCGAAGATTGTTTTAAAAACCTTTGGAACCTACTTGTTCTTTCTTTCTTTCTTCTTATTTATTTATTTATGTTTTTTTTATTTTTTTCTGGAATAAGCCATCTGAGGAGAAGACCGGTACCATGTTTAGAACCTCTCCTTTCTTTCTCCTCTTTTGCTCAGACATAATATATGGGAATATATTACGTTGTTTATCTTTTCCATAATATTTCTCTCATTTAGATTATCAAAAATGTTGTTTAAAATCACACCCCTGAAATCTTTTAATTATAATTTGTTGCTACTAGCGCCACCTGTATTTAGTGTTTACACAATTAAATATCAATGTAAGCTTTAAACTAAATTTTTTTTACTCTGCGCTTCGTTGCTTGCCTTACCAATTGCTGGGTGTTTGTTTTCATTTTGAAGTGTGTTTGTACTGCTGTGCCGATACTTCTTAGTAATTTACTTGCACTTTATTAAAACTGCTGAATTCATTTTTAGAAAATGAGATAAAAACGATTTTAGCTTTAGCTAATTCGCATTAAAATAGCAAACAAGAAATTCCTACAAGAATTATTGTCAAATTTTATTTTTCTCTTAACTCTTGTGTTAGAATAATTTAAATACGATTTAATGAAATAATATGCTTCGATGTTTGCGAATTTTTGTTTTAAAAGCAACCTGAGTACAATACAATAGCATGTAAATATCTTTTTGTTTCAATTTCCATCCCAAAAGCAATCGATGTCCTTTGTTAAATTTTTTTCTTGCTTAGCAGTGATACCTACAACTAATAAAATAGCAGTTACTTCGCCCCTTCTAATTTTCTAAAAAATAAATAAAGTTTAATGAAAGAGTTTTAAAGAATAATGCTTTTGTAAAATATTCACAATCTTAGCTCAATACTTTTGTATTTTTACAATTTTATTAACAATTCCATTTTTTCTCATGTAATTTTAAAACCTAAAATTCGAAATAAACCATAATACATTTTTTAAAATAAAGGCTGTATAGCAAAAATTTCAGTTATTACAGTTTTTAGAAAATATGATTATGATGAATTTTTATGGAATTACTTCTTAAAATTAGTAATCCTGGCTACATTAATATTTGATGAAAATAATATTCTTCTTTTAACTAGCTTTGACCATTAAATGAATTAACATATTTTGAAGCTATAATGCAAGTTGAATAAAGTGTATAATTTATTTATATAGCAGATAATTTTTACTTTATGAAATTCATGGTTTAACAAAATGTTATGATTATTTATTTTAGTTGGATATTAAGTACCATAATATTAGATAGTTACATTGTTTGATAAATAAAAACTTGTTATTTAAAAAAATCCTAAAACCAGGGTTCCCACGGTCCTTGAGAGTCCTTGAAAGTCCTTGAATTATTTTTTGCTAAATTTAGGTCCTTGAAAGTGCTTGAAAAACGTCTTAGGTCCTTGAAAAACTTGATAGGTCCTTGAATTTGTCCAATACTGCCGGCGGCCCTTTTTATAAAACACCCGCGGATCTTTCTCGNAAATAAACCATAATACATTTTTTAAAATAAAGGCTGTATAGCAAAAATTTCAGTTATTACAGTTTTTAGAAAATATGATTATGATGAATTTTTATGGAATTACTTCTTAAAATTAGTAATCCTGGCTACATTAATATTTGATGAAAATAATATTCTTCTTTTAACTAGCTTTGACCATTAAATGAATTAACATATTTTGAAGCTATAATGCAAGTTGAATAAAGTGTATAATTTATTTATATAGCAGATAATTTTTACTTTATGAAATTCATGGTTTAACAAAATGTTATGATTATTTATTTTAGTTGGATATTAAGTACCGTAATATTAGATAGTTACATTGTTTGATAAATAAAAACTAGTTATTTAAAAAAATCCTAAAACGGAGTTAAATTTATTAGAGAAAATATTATCTCTAAATATTTGGTATTATTCTATTTCAAAGGACCCTAAAATACCTATTAAGTAGTAATTATATTAGTGTAGCAATTATATTAGTTCATTAAGTAGCTGCTATTTCAATACTAGTAATACCTGCTACCATATTTTATTTAATATCACTGGAGTTAATATTAGTTTGGAGATTTTTTTCGGACCCCCTATACGGTTTTCAAATTACTTAAATTTGAAAACATGCTGATATTAAAATGTTAAGGCTCAAAATGAAGACTATTCAGAGTTTCAAAAAATATTTTAATCTTTAAACTCCAAACATATGCTACTTAAAATTTTGTTAAAAATGTTAACTATTTGCATACAGTAAAAAAAAGTTACAAAATTAATTTTTATACAGAGTAAATTGTTACCTGCGATAATTTAATTTTTAAAAAAAAAACAATGTGTTCAAAACTTCAAATGCTTTCTAATCTGAAAATATACTTATATTTTGTGTATTATTTGCTGTAAAGAAATAAAGCTTTCCCACAACAACCCATTGTAGGCAAGGGGGTTTGTGGCGGTTAAAACTTCACAATTTCATGGCCAATGGCATGATAGTTTCAATGTGGTCAGCATTGCATTACCTCTTCTTTTATTTTCCAAACAACCTGATACCCATGAATCTGAAGCTAGTTGAGCTTGAAATCCTCGTTGCGGATTGAACCCTTGTTATTGTTGCTACACCAGCTAGATCAAATTCATGAGTTCTTGAACCCTTGCAAAATCAAGCTCCAAATGCAGTTGCCAGGGTAAGGGTTCTCAATGTTCTGGATTCACGTAAGTAAGGAAGTGATTGGGAGAAACCGGAGTGATCGAGCACATAGTAGCTGTAGGGAAGACCCTGCTCCTAGACTCGAAGGTTATACATTTCAGATGTTTGCTAGTGAGTCACAAGGCAGCAATTGGATTGGATCAGTCTCCCTTAAAATCCAAGGTGTCCCTATGCGCCTTTAAGGATTAAACCCTTTTTCTTCTCAAAGACAGTTCAGTGCTTTAACCCCTGGGTCTTAGCAGCTCATTATTTACACTTACTCTGTTAATTTTGCATGAAAATTTATATTGTTTACATTATACTGAGGATTAATTAGGTTACTATCAATTGATATGAAAACCAAGTTTATTATGTCTCTCAAATCGTTGTTCATCCCGACATTGCATGAAAATATAGTGTGAGCCATAACCCGATTTGTCCCAAGTATGAAAAATTTATTAAAATGAAAATCTAAATTAAAATAGTGTAATGTTTTAAATGTTTTATTTTAGAGTGTTCCCAAATAACATTTTGCATTTTTTCTAGGCTCATAATTCTATTTAACACATTTTCTCTTCTAAATGTTTAAGTTTACATAAACTAATTTATTTTATGTAAGTCGTTTTTTTTAAATGTGTAATCAAACAGTTTTATAAATTATGTTCAGGTATTGCAAAAAATTTATAACTTTTTTAACCACAACTTGCAGCTATTTATTTCGGTCCTTTTCCAGATGAACAATATGTATATTTGTCATACTTATTTAAACTGTGACTTTTCCAATTTCAGGAATATCATTGCTTTTCAACCAAGTGAAGCTGGAAATATGGGTTGATTAAGAAACAATAAAAGGCTCAGAAGATGGCCCTGCTGGATTCTTCCTCCGGCTACTTAACTTTCTTCAGGCACATACACTATCGCATGCCATCTGTGAGATTCTCCAAAATAATCATCTTGAACCTCTTCATATTGTTCGTGGTTATCACTTTCTTAGCACACTACTATTTACCCAAGGTAATATTTATCCTTATTTTTATGCTGATGTGTATTTGTATTCTTTTTATATGCATACTTTTTGCCAATTTGTATTTCGGCATTTTTTTTCTTATTGTTCTTAGTAACTATATTTTAAATGAGTTATTATTTTAAAATCACATCTTTCACCATTACTAATGGTAACCGATATTCCATTGCTATAAACTTTCATAATTTTTTTTTTAATGTCTCAATTAAAAAATGAAATGTGGAATACTTAGTGCCCAATCTGCAAATTTATATAAACAATATTGTCGGAACCACATTGTAGTTGGAGGTTATATCTATATATGTACGCTTGCATATTATATTACATACACATGAGGATATAATTTCTTTGTTTCTTGAAGATATAATTTCTTTGTTTCTGTTAAAAAAAATAATAACTCATTTGAAAATTCGTCTTTTAACTATTAAGCTCAAAGAAACTTATATCTTTGTAAAATAACTTATAAGAGGGTATTAAATATTCTTATTTTATTTCAAAAAAATTTTTACCTCAACATTTGCAATGTCTTAATTTACATTATATTTTATGTGTCAAGATATCAAGATATTTGTTAAAACATTTATAAAGAATATATATTTTTTCTTTGGAAATAAGGATTTGTTCTTGATTTAACATGTAGTTATGTACATATTATTATTGCATTGCAGTAAAACTTTTTCAATTTCTTTATTTCAATTGAAAAAAATTATTTGCAAATAAATTTATCCCTTAGTTATTGAGCTCAAACTGATTTATATTTTTATATAATAACTTATAGTGGGCCATTAAACATTTTCATTTATAACAAAAAACATTTACCTTAATTTATTATGCAACTGATATACGTTAATTTTCTTAATTTTTCATGCATCAAGATATTTATGAAAATATTAAAAAAAAATTTTTTTTAAGAGCAATAGAAATAAAGTCGTTGTTTCAATATAAATATATACAAACACATTGAACGTGGAAAATAAGAAGAGTGATTGAACCCTGAGACCTTTCCGAGGTTGCCATTATCTATGGTCCAAAACGTAATGAAACATGGATTACCATACATTAATAGCCAAAAGTGTAAGTTGCACCCTCACTTGAAAATTGACATACAGGCCCATGTGCACTCAATAGGTTAAAATGATGCATTAACAGTCTTTGTATCTTACAGTTCAAAAGATCAATCATACTTGTTTGAAAATTTATTCACCTTTTTTTTCCTTCAATTAAATGTTATTTTTAATGAAATACAAAAGGTTTGTGGTTTATTTTTGAGTTAAAATATGCTGTCACTACAGTTATTTTTACACTTATTATTTTGCAAATACGGCTGCTGAAAGTCGGAGTATTGTTTTTAATGTATTATAAACCTATTATATATTATTTTAAATGATACTTTTAAGTATTTGTGAACATCAAGTTGATTAGTTATCATTTATTCTACTTCCTAATTCTTATAATTAAGCATACTAATATTTTGTCAAAGTTAGTCTAGCACTTATTTATTGATTATATTTTTGTCAACTTACATTTCAAAATCTACTTTTGTTCTGAAGTCGAGGATAATTGTATTAAGCATAAACTGTTTTAAAATAATATGAATTTCTATTTTACAATTAAAAATATCTTTAAAATAAAATAAAATCCTAACTCTTAGATTTTGTTTTACTCGTTGTTTCTTAGATTGGAAATGATGATCCAGTGGCAGAAATTCATCAGAAAGGGATGCAGATGGAAGATTTAGATTCTATCAAAGCCATAGATCTCAAAAGTAGAATAGAAGAGATGATACGCATCAAAGTCTCTGTTAGCAATGAATTAAGAGAATTAGAAAGTAGAAGACAAAAACTACAGGTATTATTTTCCACAGTTTATATAATATGTGAGATTGAATTTTTTCTCCAAAATTACTATCCTACCTGCATCTTAATCTTCCTAGATCTGACGTTTTTTTTATATTTTTTTTTTAAATAATTTCTTCACTTTTCTAATTTTTTAAAAATTATTTTTTAATTTTCTTTTATATTGCTGAAGATGTTACAAAAATATCCACTCAACCGAAAATTCCCTACTATGTATTGTTCAAAGTGTAAATCAAAATCTTTTTCTAAGATCAGGTGGCTAGCAATTATGTTTTTTCATTTTTATTTATTTGGGGATCATTCACTTACTGATTTTTGTAAAATTTTAAGTTTTGTCAATTAAACAAAGGCTTCTATGGCCAATTTTGTTTGTAAAGTCTCATATATTTATTCATAGTTTTATGTTTAAATACTAATTTAATTTTATTTAATTAAACCTTTGTGCCACTAACAATATATTATTCACAAATAATTTGAATATTTTTGGAATGCTATATTTTCTGATCTATTTATCTGTTCACTTAAAACTTCAATTCACTCGCTGTAAATTTATTTTATAATGTTAAATTTGATACTTATCACCCAATGAAATAGGAAAAAGTTTTTTTTTTCAGGCCCATTTTTTTCCCTTTCTTTTCTATTTAAATCTGCCACTTGATCAAACATGGTGGCAGATCATTATTATAATTCATATCATTATAATTCATCATTATTATAATTAAATCAAGAGGCAGATCATTATTATAATTTATATTTATTACATTTTAATTTATTAATACTCTGTTAATTTATTAATACTCTGTTAAAATGTTTTGGAAATCTTACAGTATTCTTTATAACTGATGCCAGTTATAAAGAGCACTGTAAAGTATGTATGTATCAACTCTTTTGCTAACTTAGAGCTAATAGCTTTTCTGTATCACTAACTGTTTTTTTTAAAAAAAAAATTTTTAAACTATGTTATTTAATAAGAGTTGTGTTATAAGGGGAAATGATTCATATTATTTTGCTCAGATTTGTACTGCTTAGGATGTTAATTACTGTTTTTCTGTTTACAATTGAAATATGTAGGTTGAATCAGTCTCAATTGTACATACCTTAAGTTATGCAGCTATTAATATTAAGCTTTAAATATTTATAGTTTATGTTTTTTTTCAAATTAATGATATCAGTTTGCAAATCATGAAAAATAATTGATATTTATTTATCAATTTATTTTCCAGTGTCACTTATTTTTTTTCCTTTCCTTTCACAGTCTGACATATCAATTCTAACGCAGAGGATGGAGGATTTGAAAGTTGATTACTCACGCCAACAAGTAGATTTAGACCGACTAAGAATTTCAGTTGAACAAGCTCAATATGCCCAGAAAGAAGTTCAAGAGAAAAACACGCCTTTCATAGGGGCACCTAAACGAATTCTTCCATCTCTTGATGATAACATCCACATGCCACCCTCTACTCTCAAAGGAATACGAAACTGTAAAAACTTTTTATGTTTTGATTATTCCCGCTGTTCGTTAACATCAGGGTTTCCTGTGTATTTCTACCAACCAGAAGACTTTGGTACATGGAACTCTAAAGATCATTACCTCAGAAGTGCAGTAATGGAAGCCTTAAATGTAAACATTCATATTACATTTGATCCTTCCATCGCATGCATCTTTGTTGTTCTTGTGGGAGAAATTGTCCACGGCAAGAAAGATCCCAAATCATTAGAACATTATCTAAGTTCTTTAAATTATTGGAATGGCAATGGACGAAATCACATACTTTTCAATCTTGTTTCAGAAACCAATGAAACAAACAATGTTTTTGCAGGCCTCAATACAGGACGTGCAATAGTTGTGCAATCTCATTTTACGACAAAGGATTTCAGGCCTCATTTTGACATTATCTCTCCACCATTATTTTATAAAAAGGATAAGATCTCAAAACTGTATCTTTATTCGCCAGCCCGCCGAAAATTCCTCCTTTCTTATCAAGGAGAATATAGGACATCAAGTTATGTTTTAAAAAGCAACTTTCGCAAACTGTCCACCGCCACACTTAGTGATGAGGTCAATGGCATGGAAAATGCAAAAATGACCGATTCTCAGTCAGAAGATGTCGAAAATCTAATTGTAAATATCTTAAAAGAGATGCAGTTGTCTGCCTTGGGAGATAATTTCTTCTTCCAATTTTCTTGCGCGGGTAGCTCTTCACCTGGATATGATTCAGAGTGGCTCATGTGCGGGACACATGAAACAAGGTTAGAGGTTCTGCAGGATTCAACCTTTTCATTACTTGTGAGTCCATCTGACTACAATATCATAAGTACTCCCCAAATTCATGTTCGTTTAATCGAGGCTCTTCAGACTGGAGCTGTTCCAGTTGTGCTGGGAGATCATGTTCATTTACCATTTGATGAAGTTGTAGATTGGAGAAGAGCTGCAGTTATTTTACCAAAAGCTAGAGTTTCTGAGCTGCATTACTACTTAAGAACTATTAGTGACAGTGACATCATTGCCATGCGACATCAAGGTTTGCATAATTGCTAATTACGGTTTTTTTTCTTTCATTTGTTTAATGTTAAAATTGATATTGCATTGAAACAAATTCTGTTTTCGCAGTATTTCAATAATTTTTTCTCTCCTTCAAATTTTTATCCGGAATTTATTTTGTAGAAAGTTCTTTTTATTTGCCAGATTAATTGCTTGTTTTTTTGTTACAATTAATATTTTTGAAAGATGTTTTTAATGCTTCAATATGATCTTTTATAATATTCCTCAATTAAGGACACAAAAGTTTGTGCTTTAAAGACTGAAAAAAGTTGGTAACCTAGTTTACTCACTCTTAAGAATTCATAAAATATATTTCAATTCCTTTTTTTTAAATTAATTTTTCTATTGAATATGACAACTTCTATACATCAAATGTACATATATTTTTCTTCTTCATTTTATTCTGTAAATCTTTTACATTAATTATGTACAGTGGAGCATCATTTATACAACGATCACTTATACGACGTTTACATTTATACGACGTTTTAGTGTGGTCCCAAATCATTCCTATTCATTTTAATGTAAAAATGTATCGTTTGTACGACGCACAGAATCGGTTATACGTCGATTTTTAGATTTTGTTCTTTATTTAATTTTTTATTTTTTCTTGTGTATTTTAAAAAAGGGCGGAATTTGCCAACATGAATGATACAGATAAGGGTGTCAACAAGAATGCTTGGATGACGACCGTAATTTTTACTAGATGACTGAAAAAACTAGACAATGTTATGAAGAGGAAAAAACGAAAAATTTTGCTATTCATCGACCAATGTCCAGCGCACCCATCGATACTAATTATTTTGGAAAATGTAAAAGCTCTCTTTTTTCCTGCAAATTGCACAAGTGCGCTTCAGCCATTAGATTTGGCCGTGATTAGAAATTTAAAATTGCATCATAGAAAGCAGTAACTTCAACTCGCTATTCAAAGCATTGTAGAGAATAATAGCAAGAAAATATAATTAAAGGTAACATACATTCAAATGGCTCACTGCAATTTTTCTCCTTTGGTTATTTGTTTGTTTTGCTTTGTCTAATTTAGAAATTTATGTAAATCAACACGTTAAACATTAAAATTAACTGAAAACAGAGTTAGTTTCAGTTTTAGAAGTAAAAATCGATTATACGACGTTATCGTTTATACGACGTTTTTCGGTGGTCCCTTCGGCGTCGTATAAACGATGCTCCACTGTACTTAATAATCAAACAACATTTTCAGGTTTTATTGTAACTAAAATTTATGCTAAAAATGTTAAATTTTGAAAAACCAAATTTTGGATAATTAAGATCTTCAAATTTCAATGTTATTCATTTTTGTTGACCTATTTGTTTGAATATCTTTAAAGCCTATTGTTTTTTTAAGCATTCTTTTTGCAATATTCTTTCAATAGATTTTCTTGATTTATATCATAGGTCGCTTACTTTGGGAGCATTACTTAGCCGGCCCTCGTCAAGTGGTAGCAACTATTTTATCAATAATACGAAATAGAATCCAGATACCAGCCCCAGCTTGCAGAGAGGAATCATCTCCCAGTGTGTTCAATGAAACATTTCGTCCATTAAAAGCAGAATTCGCTGCCATTCAAGATCCAGACCCTGAAGAGAACCTGGGTCCTGTGGAATCGCCATTTCCATCTCTCAGCTTCAGGCGCAACTTAACAATTGCCAACAGTAAAACCTATTTTGTCTGGAACGAACAGTTTGATCCTTTTATTTTATACCCCCACACACCATTTGACCCAGTACTGCCATCAGAGTCAAAGTTTATCGGTATGTTAGTTTTCCTCATTTTCCTTTTTGTAAAAATAAAATTTTAAAATCGATTTTTTAGGTATTCATGAATACCACGCTGGAGAAGGGATCTCTTTACCTCCTGTTTTTATGCACCAGACTTAGTTTATCCTATTATGATCAGCTTTGATAAAATAAATTATATTGTATATGACAAGCGTGATAAACTTAGACTTATTCACGGAATGAATGTATATATATATATGTATAATTATAGATATATATATTTATATATATATAAAGAACCATGCAGCAATTAAAGTAATGATCTCATATAGATACTGCAGTATCCATTATCAGTTGAGAAAATTGGTAAATTTAATACTGTTCCATAATTTTTGTAAAGCAATATAAATGATTTAAAAATATAGACTAAAAAAACATAGACTATTAAAAATAGACTCAAAAAAGTTATATACCCATAACATTAGTTATAATTTATTATTGGCTTATCAGAGAATATAATTCCAGTAATAATTATTAAAATATATCATAATAAATAATTTGATTTATTGTGTTATCTTTAAAAATTCTTTATCAGTTGTAAAGCTTATTTTCATAATATCATTATACTCTGCTTTTTTTATATTACATTTTCTTTCGATTTGAAAAATTATCGTTATGTTGCGATTTTTTGTTTAGTTCAAAGTAAATTTAAATTATTTTTTCCCCTTTTTGTTTTTTCTTAGGTTTATCTTCAAGACATTAATGTTCCCTTTTGCTCATTAAGAGCACACATCATTTCTGTTTCTATTTCATTCGCTATAAATTTTGAAAAAAAAAATATTGTTGAAAGGTTTAATTTTTTCATTAGTTTTTTATTTATTTTTATTGTTACCATTCTATAAGTACATAACTAATTTTAATCTCTTTAGGCTCAAGCTTCGGTTTTCGTCCGATTGGTCAAGGAGCTGGAGGATCCGGTAAAGAGTTCAGTGAAGCACTTGGTGGAAATTACCCCCGAGAACAATTTACTAGTATGGATGATTTAAATTTAAAATTCTGAATTAATTTCATTTTCTTCTAAAGTTTTCATTTCCATTATATGTAATATAGTCGAAGATCTATGTAATGTACTTCTATTAACCACAATTCTCCATAAATGAAATTAACTTTACAATCTCTCTAGCCAACCAAAATGGATAATTTGTTATATTTTATTCCTAATACTTCTGATAATATGGATAATTTTCTGTAAATATAAAAATTTTTTGCTTTTTAAAGTATTTTTATCTAAAAATTATTTTAAAGCATTAATATTGGCCTGCTCTAGGTACATATTAACATCTTTAATAGATTAGTTTAATGATATGGAAAATTATCAATGTAACACAAAATCCAGTTTAATGCGATGTTTTATGTTTCAACGTCTACATTATAAAAATCTTCTATTTTTTTTTTTAAGATTATAAGGTATGTTTTTATTATATTAATATCAAACAGGGTGTGAATGTATCATGCTTTTCTAAAAATCTGATTATTTTTATTAAAAACCAGATTTTTAACATTTTTTCTAAAATGAATTATTAAGTAAAAAATACCTAGCTATGCAAATTTTAAATGATAAATATTATTAGATTTTATTTATTTATAAATTTTTTTAAGCATAATTTATACATATGTTTAAAATTAAAGTCTGTCTTTCAAGAAGCTCTAAAAGAAGAACAACTTGTCAAATGACCAGAAATTTGATCTGAGTATTTTCAAGGAAAGGAAAATGATGTTGCGTAAATAAAATAAAGTGATGTTGACAGTAAGAGAGAGCCTAGGACCAGGTAACATTTATTAATAAGATACAAGACACATAATGTTAAAAAACACATTGAGCACCATCTAGCCTTATAAAAAAGTGAAAAATAGTATCGAATAATACTATATAAGGAAAAATATTTTAAAATGTTAGTGACTCCATATGACGGGGGACAGTCATGATACTCAAAGTTAAATAGTAAAATAAGTTGCTTAAGATGCATTTAGGAAATGATAGAGGTATCTGCATCGCTTTTCAATAATGTTGCTGCTAAGATCTCTGATGTGATCTCTGATTGTGTAGTCATCTGAAAAGTGTTTTAGTGGTTCCATTGCTAACTTATCTGAAGTCACCTGGAAACGCATTGCAGAACATATTCATTTCAATTTGTTGTGAAATATGTTGTTTCTTGTGGTTGCAACTCGTGACTGAAAATGGTGCAGCAATATATCAAACATAAGAGTTTTCATGACTGTTTAAAACTATTTTCACTGTTAATTTTTTTGACAATTAAAAAACAATTTTATAGCTGCTTTCTTGTTACATTTGTTTGATTTATGACTTGCAAGACACTCTCTATCTCTAAAATTTTGAACTATTTTTTTTCCTTATGACAGTCATAACTTTAACCCTTCTTCCAGGAATACTCAGATCAAATTTCAAATTTTTCTTACTAGTGGTTCTTTTTTTTAATAACCTTGTATTTAATTATAAATGCATGTTTAATAATTGTTAATGCTTAATAATGTAATAATTTGTAATGTAATAATGTGATTGTTTAATAATTTTATAAAATGCGTGCGTGTCATTTATAGAAAATTTAAAGTTATGTCTGAGTCACTGCATCATTACAGTTTAAGATAATATACAGTGGTGGTCAAAAGTGTGGACGTTTTTTGAAAGTTTCATGTTTTTCAACTTTGTGTGCTTGTGGAATATATTAATTTTCACTTAAATACAAATGTTTATATGTCAAATTGAAGGTAATTTAATGTAGAATTTAATAATAAATACAGTATTACAATATCTGTATTACAAAAGGAGTTATGCAACTAATAGTAAGATCTATCTTAGATTTGCATTTTTTTTAAAGTGATACTTACACAATCAATACTTAGTAGGATAACCCTTATTTTTAAAGACAGCTTCACAGAGTCTTTTAATCGAGTGAACGAGTGTTTGGAGTTCATCTTTTGTAATCACATGGTGCCAAGGATCAATTATAGCTTCAATAAGTTGTCTTTTATTGGATGGACGTTTTTTTCGTACAGGAAAATAAGAATAAAAATATGAACTAAAATTATTATTTAATTATAAATGAAAACTTTGAAAACACACTCTTTTTCAAGCTCTTAAAATATATCAAATGGATTATTTCGAAAACAGGTTGGTTTTAAAAGCATTCAGATTATTTTTTAAATCTGAAAAGTGCTTATCTGACTTAAGAAAAGGCACACTAAAAGAAATAAAGCGTTCGTAAACTCGAAAGGTGTTAAGGCTCAATGTTGGACAGGCTCTAAACGANTCATGACATTTGTTGGGTTTTTTGTAGTTGCTTCAATGCAATCAGGATGAAGTGCTTCACCTACTCTATGTCTCGCGTATTTTCTACCATCACTACCATAGAGCGATATTTTACTCTCATAGCTCCAGATTACTTGCTTCCATTGATTTTCTGACCATTTAATGTGTTCTTTTGCCCACTTAAGTCATTTTTCACGTTGATTTTGATTTAAATATGGTTTTTTCCTTGGAATTCTAGCTTGTAGTCCAAATCCTGATAACCTTCTTATTGTTTTGAACTTACTGCAATACTTGCTGCATTCATTTCACATCTAATGGCATCTGATGAAATTTTTCTATCATGAAGGCATAGCCGCTTAATTTTTCTATCTGCAGTAGCACTTGTGCATTTTTTTCGGCCTGATTTGGCTTTATTTTCCTCTGATTTCGTTTTTTCATAACCTAAACAGAACTTTCGTACACTAGAACAAGTCACTTAACCACCAACTTGTCTTGCAATTTCAGCATAAGAGTGGCCATTTTCTCTCAATATGACAATTCGGCTTCTTTTTGTAGATGTCCAATTAGTTCTTGTTGATGACATTGTTTAAAATTAGTTTAATTTTAAAAAAAAGGACTTTAAATATTCAAAAACAGCAATACTCTATTTAATTGTACTAGTATGCATCAGTATTCCACAACATATATATTATATATCAAATATTTCCACAACAATAACTCTTTTACCATCCAAATAACCTAAGCTATAGTTACAGACATTTCATTAGTCCTAAGAACAGTGTTTGTGATTGGCTAGTACGCTTTTATTACAAAACACGTCCTTATTCAAAACGATTTGTGTTTGCTTTTTCTATTAAAATGAGCACAACTTTTTTTTGTAATACAGATATTGTAATACTGTATTTATTATTAAATTCTACATTAAATTACCTTCAATTTGATATGTAAACGTTTGTATTTAAGTGAGAACTAATATATTCTACTAGCACGCAAAGTTGAAAAACATGAAACTTTCAAAAAATGTCCACACTTTTGGCCACCACTGTATATATAATATATAGGACACAATATTAAACAAGCAAATATGACAAATTCATACATCTGATAAAGAATACAGATACAAAATGTGGTAAAGTCATCTAATACCTGTCCTTTCCAAATTTTTATCTCTCATATTTGTTTTGCTGCAAAAAATATTGTTTAATTATTAGCAATTTTTAATTATTAATTATTAGCTTTTTGTTTAATTATTATCAGTATAATATGAAAATGTTTTATAAACTTGTTTAATTATTTCAAATTATTTTATTACTTTAGAAAGGTTTTATTTATGTATTTTTTTTCTTTCAAGTCAAGTGATTAAAGTCCTGCTTTAATCCATTGCCACCTTTGATATTAAATTTTAAAAAAGGATAATTTTAATGCACTAATTATAAAATAATTCTTTGCCCCTTGAAGTGACGTTATTTAATATTGATGTCAAATGACTTTCCATTTTCTCTGTTAAGTAATAATTATATATTTGTAACATTTTTTTTCCATCTGGTTATAGATGATGAAATTTATTTTTGTTTTGCAATCATTTCAGTTGTTATACTGACCTATGAAAGAGAAGCTGTTCTAATTGATTCCTTGCAAAGACTAAGGGGACTGCCTTACTTGAACAAAGTTGTTGTTGTATGGAATAGTGAAAAGTTACCCTCAGCAGATCTAAGATGGCCTGAAATCGGAGTTCCCATTCATGTAAGATTTTATTTATTTTTTTCTTCATGTTTATCTTGATAGCTTAGAGAAAGAGGTACCAGCTCAGGGTCTTGACAATCATTTGGACGGGATAAAAAATTATGTGGCATTTCGGTCACAGCTGTTAAAAGATAGAGCCCTGAAAAACCGAGTTAGGTGGTTTGCCATGGTTTGGTAGTATGTGTTATCTTAACAGAAACAATGCAACACATCTGTAAATTATCACTTGCAAAGTAATTTTCATCTCTAATTTTTAAATAAAGTGACTAAAACTTCAATTTTAAACAGATATTGAAAGTGATTTGCGGTATACAGAGTTCCTTATGCATATGCAGAGATTTTCTGAAATTATCTTAAAAGTTCTAGAAGTATCCTGCTACAGATATATAAGTTAAAAATGATTATTTTACAATTAATTTTCTTTAACTAACTAGAATTTTTGAAAATGAAGGAAAAAAAAGCAATTAAACTTTTCTCTTTTCATTTCTGAAAATTTTAGTTATTTTGAATAAGGTTTTTTTTTCCATTTTTTAGAATGTTATTATAGCATAAAATAAGTAATTAAATAAATTTAAATGTAATTTCAAATGATTTTTCTACGTATAATTTTTATCTATAATTTTTATGCAAATTTTGCTACATACCTGATAGATTAAGTTTTACTGAAATAGATTATTGTCTGACTGCATTAGGGTAATAGGCAAATCGAAGATTATGCTGCAGATTGACTCAGCATGCTCTGCAACCAGACGTGTAATTAAAAATGTCTTCTATTATATTCATCCATTATATCCTAGGTTATCAAGGCAAAGAAGAACAGTTTGAACAATAGATTTTTACCCTTTGACGTAATAGAAACTGAAGCAGTTTTATCAGTGGATGATGATGCCCACTTGCGTCATGATGAAATTGTATTTGGATTTAGGTAATTTATTTATTTTCTTAAAATTTCGTTCTTTTTTTATTTGTTAGCTTTTTGTATAGATTAATGCATGAATAGTATTTATCTCAAAAAAAAATTATGTAGTTATCTAAAAAAGGTCTGAATTTAATTTGTATCAGAAATTTTCTGTATTGCATACTTTAATGCAAGAGTAATCAATATCAAACAAAAAATTATTTATCTGTCTAGAAAATGTCTAAATTTTTACTAAAAATTATCTGTATTATCCTGACTTAAAGAATAATCAATATACCACAAGAAGGTATGCAGTAGTTTAGAAAGGATCTGGATTATAGTCAGTAATTATGTCTTATAACCATTTGAATGCAAAACTACTCAATGTCTTACAAAAGGTTATGTACATCTAAAAAGTCTGCTAGAAATCAAAAGTATGTTGCAAAAGTAAATTTTCTGAAACAAATACAAATATATTTTCTAAAAATTTAAAGAATTGAATTCTCTGAATTTAAACAAGCTATTGTTTATAAATGCTTGATTTATTTACATATTTTAAAATTCTAAAATTTATGTTTCAGAGTTTGGCGTGAAGCTCGTGACAGAATTGTTGGATTTCCTGGAAGATACCATGCATGGTATTCACTGAATGGTGGTTGGCACTATAATTCGAATTATTCTTGTGAGTTATCAATGGTTTTAACTGGAGCTGCATTTTTCCATAAGGTTTGTTTCGTTTTTTCCCCCTTGATTTTATTTGAAAATGTTGTTTAAGAACTTGAAACAAATATCATTTAGTCAATTATACATTTTCTTAATCATCAGATAAGAGAAATGGAGTAAAATAATGTTCCGAGATTTTTTTTCTCTTTATCTGATTATAAAAAAATTATACTTTTGCATGTTTGACCAGATAAGTTCGAATTATGTCTCTGCTGTTTGAGGTTTTGTTAATATGCTAATACTTATAAAGCAAAACAATATTTTACTATATCTTTATTAAATAATATTGGTAAAAATAAGGAAAGAGTAAATTAAATTTAATGTAAGCTTTTAATCTAATATTGCTAAATATTGAGCATTAACATTGTTAAATATTGAAAGTTTTTAAATCATAATATTTGTTGGAAATTTTTATAATTTTATTTAATCAGCTTCCACTTCCCTCAATTTACGGTTTTTCTTACTCATCGTGATGTAAAAATAAAATTTGAGGTTATGACATTTTTTCTTAGAGAGTAATATACTTCTTTTATAACTTATTACATTTTCAGTATATACATAAAGGCTGCAACTAAACTTGTTACTTTTCTTTAAATTAATAATAAGCAACATGCTCATATTACCGTAAATTCGTTTATGAGGTAACTAAACTTTTTTTTATAAAAGTCTGAGTTGTTTTGATATTATTGTTTGCCATTTTTTTAACTTCAAGCTTGCTGTTTGCTTGCTTGTTCTATCATCATGTTGTTATTTTCTAGTGAAGTGCGCCCACCTGTTTTTGTTTGATTCATAATATGTAAATACCCATAATCATGTTGTTCTAATAAAAATATTGGATTATAGCTTAAAATCGTCTTGCCTTCTCTAACTACCCACTAATATTCGGCATCTGCCAAGCAATATTGTTAAAAATCTTCAAAGAATTTATGTTCAAATTGCTTACCTAACAGTATTTCTCTTTTTATTTTATTTTATAACCGTTGTTGAACAGCCGACCTTATTTTTTTGATTCACGACTTATGTTAAACTCTGTAACCTTGTAATTTTGAGCCCAATGCAAAAGACAAGGGAACTCTTGGATCAAGTATTGGGAGAAACTTGCTTTCATGGAGGAGTTTTTGATGGAACTAACCCATATTTGCTTTATATGGAGAGGAAAACTAACCCATGATCCGTCAACCACTGAGGATATTTTATGTCAGCACTGCGGTTGGCTCAAGCCGGATGCGGAATCTGTATCGATTAGCCATCACTGGGATTCGAACCCGGTTCTCCTCATTAGGAGGTTGAAAGCTGCATCCCCTGAGCCATCATAGCGCAGTATTTCTCTTTTGAATAACACGAAGAAAAATAGATTATTAATATAGATTAATATAAATTTCTACTAAATATTGCCCTTTTTTCAATCACTATGTTGGCAAAAGAATATTTCTCCATTGAATAGCAGATAGAATAAGAGATTTGTCATGCTGAAAAACACTTAAGGCATAAAGTCAACTGTTAAAAGTTATAGTTATAGTTAATAAATGTGCAAAATAATGATTTATTTCACATCCTATTTTTATTCATTTTTATGATGTATTTTAGTATTAATTAGAATTTGAAAATCATGACTTATTATATTTTGTTTTCAGTATTATACATATCTGTATAGCTACTCGATGCCACAAGTCATTCGGGACAAGGTTGATGAATACATGAATTGTGAAGATATTGCAATGAATTTTCTTGTCTCTCATGTCACTAGAAAACCTCCTATAAAAGTTAGTTTTTTTTCTTCAATGTTATAGTTTCCTAGATTATTTTGTGGCTTTAATAAATTACCTGAAGTGTAACTAATTCTTTGTTTAAAAAACAAAAAACCCAGTCTAACTGAACTCGAGCTTCCATTTTGGCGAAATAAATTTTAGGAAATAAATGAAGACCTATTTTTTTTTTACAAAACTTAATAATCTGCATGCATGAGAGCTTTAGGGTTTAGTCCTGAAAGTTCAAAGAAAATTCTTATATATAAGACAGTTGTTTCAATGCAATGGCATAAAATTTTTTGTGTCTTTTTCTTAAACAAATATTTTTCTATGTATTGTCCGCCACTACCATTTTTTCTTAAAATAATATTATGTCTTTTGAAAATATTATAAGTCTTGTAAATTTAGTACATTAAACTAAATCAGTATTTCTCATCTTTTATTTTCCCTAATCCCACTTAGAAATTCCACCTTTTCTTAATAACTGAATTATAAAATTAGCAATACATGTTGCATTCAATATTACACATATATATA